TCGTGTCTATCCCCTTCGGGGAACAACAAGAAAGCTGGCACATCGTCCAATGTCTGGCTTTGATACCATTTGTAACGGCCCAAACCACTGCGAGCAGATATTGTCCTCTTTGAGCTTTCCCTTTCGAGTTTCTCCTTGAGGCTTTAAAACGCGTATGCTAAGGAAAGGTTTTCACACCCTTATAAAGGGTGTTTTGTTCTCCTCCCAACCAATGTAGGACATCACAATTTTTGTGTAAATTATTGTCTTTATCTTGACTTGGAAGACTAGTGCAGCAGCCGTGATCGTCTCGAGTTGATTAACTTTAGGCTAAATTATAAGGTTAGTCTATAAAGTTTTGTGTGTGTAATAGGTCCATGAATTTTAAAGTGTTCAATGAGGGATTAAAAGCTCACTTTTGTGTCAAATAAGTTTTTGTGGGACTCGATATTTTTGAAATTAATGAATTTATTAGGTATAAAATGAGATCTTATCTTTGTTGTTTAAAGTAAAATTGGAAATTTATGAATTTATTAAATATAAAATAAAAGTAAAATTGAAAATTTATGAATTTATTTGAAGTAAAATTGGAAATTTATGAATTTATTAAATATAAAATAAAAGTAAATTTGAAAATTTATGAATTTATTAAATATAAAATAAAAAATTAAGTTGAATTTTTTATACATTTACTTGATTAGTCCTTAAATTAAATTAAATTATTTTGTGAATATTTGTAAATATGGAGATTAATCTATATTAAAAATAATTATTAATCAAATTAAGTTTAAATTTTAATCTTAATTATTGTGGTCAAATGATAGTTAATCCTAATTTTAAAATTTTTGTATTAGAATATATTATTATTATTATTATTATGTTTTTGTAATAAAAAAAACCTACATGAAAATAAACTATTTTAAAGAATAAAATTGAAATGGAATATTATTATTATTATTATTTATTATTATTATTATTATTATTATTATTATTATTATTATTATTTGTAATAATTGAAATAAAATAATAGTAAAGAGTTATTAATTAAAAGGAGTATAAAATGAAATTTGAAAGAAAAAAAAAAAACTACTTAAATAGCAGTCTTGGACATGGAGGCTTCAGGTTGAAAACTGAAACTGAAGGGAAAACTCGCTTCGAGCAGACGCCCTAAAGAATGGAAGATTTTGATAAGAAGCTCTCTCTGGCTGAGCAAATGGAGGAAGACGGAAGAACCTCTGGCGATTCTAGCGGTTCCTCCAACACTCTCACTTTGCTCCGCAAGTTTCTTGAAATTCAGCAGCGTAGAGCAGAAGCTTATGCCAGGCTTAAGAGGTATCATTGATTTGATTTTCGTTTGAAACCTCGATCATTGTGTTTGGATAATCGATGACGAATTGATGACTCGAGTAATGTGTATGCGTATTTCTGTTATAGTTCTTGTCCTAGAACGCGTTGTCGATGCATTTTCTTTCCTGTTGATTCCATATGGATCGATCATTGGAAAATCTAGCAAAAAGAATTTTTGTTAGATCTAAATTAACTTAGTTACAAGGTTTCGAGCGTGTTGCTGCTACTTATTTAAAACAAGGCGGATTGAATTTTGCAAGTCTTCATTATTCTGTTGATTCGCAGGGGTTTCGACGAGTATATGACTTCAGGAAGGGAGATATCTTACCAACAGCTTTGCGGTGAGATCACTGCAGAATTCAGTAATTGCTCCAAACAAGTTCGTTTTGCAATTTCATAGCATTTCAGTTAGGCGTAGTCTTCTTTGAGCTTCCTTCTGAGGTTTTACTTTTTGGACTATGGACTCTCTCTTGTTGTAGGTCATTGACATTGAGTCGAACTTCTGTAGTCCAGATCATGACAGGATCGAGTTAGCCAGCCTGCTTAGATCTGTTCAAGAACAAGAAAAGCAGAAATTGCATCTGGTATGCCTCCTCCAGGAAACTCTCTAGAATGCTTTGGTTATATTTTTTAAGCACCTTTTCCTTCTCTGCACTGAATAGGTTTGACGAGTAGTATTATTCCAAACCTGAAAATATATGACGTGCTTCACAGAATTCCAATTGGTCAGTTAAACTTGTAATTATAAATTTTGTAGGATCAATCAGTATATGCTTTGGAAACTTGTAATTATAAATTTTGTAGGATCAATCAGTATATGCTTTGGAAACTTGTAATTATAAATTTTGCAGGATCAATCAGTATATGCTTTGGAAACTTGCAATTATAAATTTTGTAGGATCTATCAGTATATGCTTTGGAAACTTGTAATTAAAAATTTAATAGGATCAATCAGTATATACATTCGAAAATAAGGCATAAGTTTTTATCACAATGAGACAAGCCTCAAGGCGTAATAATTAAAAGACTTTTGAAACATTGTTCAGATTAGAGACATGGAGTATGGATAAATCTGGATCATGTAAAGCATTCTTACCTTCTCTTGATTCTAGAAAATTAAAGAAAGATGGCCATTCAGTAGCAACCTTGATTCTAGCATTTTCGAGTGAAGATGAGCATTCCATGGTTGCTACATGTAAAGTCACAAAGTTGTAACGGCCCAAGCCTACTGTTATCCTCTTTGGGCTTTCCCTTTCGGATTTCCTCTCAAGGTTTGTAAAACGTGTCTGCTAGGGAGAGGTTTCCACACCCTTATAAAGAATGTTTTGTTCTCCTCTCCAACCGACGTGGGATCTGACAATATTTCACTATTCTTGTCTTTTTGTTAATTCCTTTAGATGTGGTGCACTTTGTATTACAACAAGGCTACTCCACCTTTGAAATTCCTTCTCGAGTTGTCTTAAAAGCTCTGATTAAACGTCGAATGAGTAGCAGACAATAATGTGTAGAGTGATTTCCTTTCTTGGATTAACTTCTAGAAATGCATTTTATTGAAATAAACACCAAAGTCAGCTCCATGTAGTTCAGATTCTCTTCTCTCAACCACTTCCCTTACTTCATCTCCTAAGCATTACATTATTCTGGCTAGAATTCTTTTTAAGATAAAAAAAAGAAAATAGGTCAGTGGAAAGTTGTTCCTGCTTATGTCCTAAACATGTTTGTCTATCAAAATAGCATTACGTTTCATATCTTGAATCTGCAAGGTCCTCAGTAGTGGTACATATAGCTTATCCTTCAATGCTTTACACAGTTGTCTAATGCCATTTCCAATGCTAAAAAACAGTACCAGAAGCCTGCTGATCATCTATTAGTTAGTTAATTTGAAAGCTGAGAATGCATACGAATAAGCAAACGATGAGATAAGACACGTTACCGCGTGTTTGTGTTGCGGGTGGGTTTTCTTGGACATTGAATGAGTACTTTTGCTAGATAGGAACCTCACCGTATAAAGTTCCGGAGTTGAGAGTTCCTGCCATCATCTTTTCCTAACAATTATTCCTTTTTATAGACAGCACAAATTCAGTTATTGAAGAAGGCTGGTCGCCCATCGGAGCGCTTGGTGAGCCACGAGAATTGCAGATTCAAGACACCTCGAGAGCACGAGTGTGTGCATGTCCACGAGATAACTGAAGCTTCGGGTACCGAGGAAGCAGAAGCAGATGCCGAATATGACAATGCTCTCAAGGAAGCAATCAAAGGTGTGCAAGAGGCTGTGACGACCATAAATGAGCACATGGAGGAAGTGAGATATGAGATTGCAGCTCTTGAAGATAAGTAATCTTGTGACATATGTATATGTTCATTGGTAACATGTTCTTGCTCTGCAATTGAATTGGTTATTGAAATGTACCTGTAAAGATACACAGAGTTGGTTCTTTACTAACGTGCATTCGCTCGACGTAGGGATAAAGCGAAAAGTTTACTTTCTTCGTGTTTGGCTCGGTATGTCGCCATCTTTTACGAGATATATATCAACTGAATTCTCAATTTTTAGCCCCAATTTTTATGTCTACTTTAGATTGGAAATAAAGCAGGGACAGGTAATAGACGTGGGAGAAGGTGAAAGGGTGGTTCAAGCCTGCAAACCCTTTATACATAGGCTTTTGCTGCATACGGTAACAGATCCATCTCTCTACAGCTTTTACTATTGTTCTCTATACATGAGAAAAATCATTTTCGATAAATCCTAAAAAGAGATTAATAGAACGAATCACACTTTTACTACTAAACTATATCTGCTACAATGCAATTATTGTATATAAATTGGCTACAATGCAATTATTATATATAAATTGACCTTGACCTTTTGTCGATGACAACAATAAGTCGTGGTAATAAATAATAAAAAGATCGGATAAAAAAAGAATCATGAAAATATGACTTGATTTAATCGGTCTCCACCCATGAACAGTAATTAATCAAAATTAATTTAATGGTATTTAAATAACATTTTGATTTTTAGTAATTAAAGATATGATTTTTTGAATTATGATAAAAGTGATTTTAATCCAATTAACAAACTTCATCCAAAACTTGCCCAAATGTAGGTTGAAACGAGTTAATTTGATTGAATTCAATTTTGCGTAGTTTCAATCGTTAAGACTGCCTCTAGATCAAGGCTATGATGACAAGGAACGAGGTACATTGTAGCATTTGGTCTAAAAACTTATATTTACAAAAGAAATCACTTTCGATTTTTATCTACCATCCTATATCTTTCTCTAAAAATAAAAATTAGTCTCTAATATTTATAAAAGGGTTTTAATTTAATCATCGTACATACCCTGATACATAATATTAGTAAAAATTTAGAGAAAAATTAGAAATACTTTAATTTTTTAAAAAAAATTAATATTTTTAATGTCTTATTTAATCCAAAAGGAGTTGACAGAATTTTGATTTAAGGTAAAATTGACCAATTATTTCCATGGAACATGACATCCAACTGAACCAAATTTACTAACCGGAGTCGAGTCGAGTCGATTCAGTTCAGTTCTTCAATTTGGTTCAATTGTCCACATTTCGTCCCAACAATCCGATGTCGTCGACTTCGAATGGGCAACGGCCAGATCATACCTAAGATCCAGCCATCACAATTGGCCAATTTCAATTTCGCACAATTCTATGGAATATACATACCAACAGCTTAACCAATCCAATACATTACAATACAATAAAATTATCACATAGAAAGTATATACCTTATTGACGACATTCAGATAATAGAAGCATAATAGGAGGAAGTTGCAGAAGAGCTTACACCGCAGAGTAGTATACTTCCCGACTCTATTCGGTTTCTGAAAACAAGTCGATCGAACAACAGGCTTTCACTTGCCTTCTCCATATTCCTATCGTTCATAATAATATCGCACTGCTTCTTCATGCTTACAACCCTCGATTTATTACCATCTTTCTCGCACTTCTGAATGTACTTCCCAATGTCCTGTTGGATTATTCCATACGTTTCTTGTGGTTTATTACTGAAGGAGAACTGAGATTTGCTGAGATTACTGCTTCTGTAAGATGTCTGTCCTAAATTGTATTGCTCGCTCTCAGATGCAGTTTCAATTGCTGCTGATTCCTGAAACTGCAAGCATTCGATGTGGGAAATCTATTAGCGACTCGACGTCCATCACAACCAATTATTAAAAGCAGCAATTCGACGATGATAGGAATGTTATATTACAGGATGTATCAGAGATTGGTTAGGAACTTTATAAGTTTGCATTGTAAGTGTAGAACAATTGTTCGACCTCGTGATCTATCAAGAACGCACTTCAAACATTGAATGGGGATTTTTAAATACTGGCCCCAACTGTTAGCTTGAGCATAGCACTCGTGAGGTAATTGGCTGAGAGAACTAAAAGGGGGAACTTGGAGCAATGGTTGAAAGTGGAAACTCATGCTATAATGGGACGTGAGAAATGAAGATTGGAAAAGTGGTGTTAGGTTTCATGTAAATTCCCTTGTATGATATCTTGGTCCCCGGATATCACCTACTTTGTTTGAGAGCAAGTATGCAAAGAATGTCTTATTCGAACTCTCAAACTTGCTTGGTTTTAAGGTTTTATGATCAAGTTTGAGTTAGAAATCGGGACAGCTTTCTCTATCAAAGTTGGGCAACCGATCGTTTTTGTGAGATTCCACGTTGGTTGGGGAGGAAAAAAAACATTTTTTATAAGGTGTGGAAACCTCTCCCTAGTAGACACATTTTAAAAACCTTGAGGGAAAGCCCGAAAGAAAAAACCAAAAAAGGACAATACCTGCAAACGGTAGACTTGGGCTATATTACAAATGGTATCAGAGCTAGACACCGGATGATGTGCGAGTGAGAAGGCTGAGCCCTAAAGGGGGTGGACACAAGACAGTGTGCCAGCAAGGACGTTGGGATAGATTGGGGGGTCCCACATCGATTGGAGAAGGGAACGAGTGTCAGCCAAGATGCTGGCCCCAAAGGGAGTGGGGATTGTGAGATCCCACGTCGGTTGGCGAGGAGAACCAATCATTCTTTATAATTTGGAAACCTCTCCTTAGTAGACGTATTTTAAAAACCTTGAGGAAAAGGTCGAAAGGGAAAGCCTAAAAAAGACAATATAGGCTAACTGTTTTTGTGTCCTGTAGGCGCCTTACAAGCTCCCACTATTATGATAGAAGATTCTTAGTATCGTCATCCTCGGCACTCTCTACCCTAGAAACGTGAGGAGTTTTCTCATGTTTAAAGTTCTTCCTTTCAAAGGGTAAAGCTACTATTTCCTGGCTTAACACGGTCTTACAACCTCAAGAAGAACTTATTAAGGGATGGGAGCTGTTAATGAGATAAAAGAGGATATTATTGATTATACTATCCCTCTTCAGAGGGCTATTATAGGCTTTTCTTAGCAACTATTCTCTCCCTTTCAGTCAGTCCTGTCACCAGCATTTCATTAACCTAATAAAATGCCTAGTACACATTGGCACCAATAAAAAGGAAAGAAGTTCATGATATGTGATTCGCAAGTGAATCAAATTGTCAAAGAAAAAAATGCTCAAATCATGACTAAATCACTTGGAACTTGCCTGGGGGGTACCATCTAGCACCTGGGTAGTGGAAGAAACTTGGTGAATTGGTGGGGGGGTTTCTTCCATTGATGAGAAATCAGAACCATCAAATGTTGATAATGATACACACTCATCAAAATATGCCAAGGCATCATCAGTTAGACGTTTTGACATCCTTCTTCTTTCAATGCTAGCCTGTTTTGAAATTGAACAATTGATCAATTTCTCTGTATCAGAATGGCAAGCTGCCATTCCTGTATGCAAGATATCCATCAGAAAGACCACAATGTAAACATGCTAAATTCATAATGGGGGAAATCAATCCTTCAATCATTTGTTTATGGTAATTGCTCAGTCATCATATGATCTCTCTATCATAAATCAATTATTTCTATAACATTCAGATCACTCTTTCTTCGCTACCCTATTGGAGACATGGACATAAAAGAACAATAAGATTCTTTTGTGACAAGTATATGGACTTTGTACGTGTTGGGGAAATTTTACTTTTTTTCCATTAGATTGCAATTTAAAGGTCATAGAAAGCTATTGTCTCTTTTGTATTTACAGGAGAGACTTTCTAACACCAAAGAGAACCCATGAAAATAATAAATTACTACGTTTCCAGCCTTTTTTTTGTTTTGATAATACTTTTAAAAATTGTTATTGCATTTATAAAAAAAAAAAAAAAACACAAACGAACAAACTAATTTTAAAGATTACTTCCAAATAACCCCATAGTCTTTGGGGCAGGTGAAGTATCCAAATTCAGAAGGAAAAATATTCAGCATGTTAAAGAATGAAACCCATCAGGAGAAGTTTAAACAGATTATGCCAAAAGAAGGTACTAAGTTGATGTAAAATTGATGAAGAAACTAAGGGAGCATACTTTTCGTCTCATAGAAGTCTTAGGAGCCGGTATTACTTCCCGTAAAATTCTACTTAGCTCTAATCCACGCTGCTCCTCTACTGCCAAGTCTGCTCGAAGTTTTCTAGCTCGGTCTTGTGACTACCAGTAGAAGAAGAATATATTAATTTCTTGTTGTCAATGATGTAATTGAAGTTGAAAACTTGAATGATAAAAACAAAATAATGCAGAAACACAAAATATAAAGCAAATCTGACTGAAGGAAGAATCATAAACAGAGAAAGGGGTTGTCAAAGTTAAACAGCACAATGGACAAGCAAGTACTACCAGCTCAAGCTTCTTGGAATACTCGCTTCTCAAGTCCATCACCATTTCAACTGCTCCTGGATTCACCAATTCGGAAGGAATGTCAATATTTGAACTTCCTACAGCATCAGCACCACTTTGTGAAGCCTGAAATTACAAACCATGACAGAATGGAAGCAAATTGTCTTATTAACATATTTGAAATTTAGATATGTCATGTTGTACAATATAAACGGACATCTCATTCCAGGAATAAGTCATTTATACATGCAAGAAGATTATAGAGAAACATTATTAGTTAAACAGAAGCAAATAATCTAATCAACTATTCTTGTTCCTGATTTCTTTTATAAGAAACACAGCTTTTATCGAGAAAAAATAAAAGAATAAAAGGACATCCAAAAAACCAATCTCACAAAAGGTAAAAGGTTCCAATCAAGTAAAATAAAACCAAACATGGAATTACAAAAGAGGTACTTTGGCGAAAACAAGTACAAATAAAAAGGCATACATAAATAGAAAAGCTAACAAAAATGTTCAGACAACCCCATGAAACTACTGCCCAAACAAGTTACTCTACCCTGGCCATCGTGTTTTGTGCCAAAGCATCGGACCATCTCTTTTTCCCTTACGGTTCAAGAGGCTTGAAAATTACTTGTAACTACAATTGAGGGATGGATAGATTCGCAAAGACCAATATTATGTGGGAACTTCTTGAAAAGGAAGGCAAAAATTCTATGGATTTTGGTGGTGAAGGTCCTGTTTGGGGTTTATGGTTAGAGAGAAATAATGTATCATTCAAGAACAAGCAAAACTGTGAAGAAGCTTTTGGCCAAGCAACATTCGTAGTTCACTTGATATTCCACACTTGATAACACTTTCGTCACTTCCTTACTCGCGGAAGATTGGATTGACAGAATCACGAGTCAAACTATACTGTGTTACGATCACCTCATATTGATAATAAGTCCAGAGAAAAATTTGAAATGCCACATGTCCTTTTCACTAAGTTGTTGAAAAGAGTTTCTTGGGGAAGAAAAGCAAATGACGTTATTCATATTCTTATGATAGTACCCAGAACATTAACAATGCCTACAAGAGTCTCGAAGTTAAAAGAACAATTGAAGTAAAAAAACATAAACATCAGCAAAAGATCAAAACTTACATTGAGAAGATCATTATGAATATCTTGGACAGCACGTCTAACTTCGTATTGAATAATGTCATATATGTCACTAGCACTGGATTGCCCTTGCAAACAATCCCCCTTCATTGACTATGAAAGGAATGCAAATTATGATTAAACGACTAAAACAAGGCTTGGCATGAGTAAATTCAAACTGAAATAACCAAAAATTGACATTGCTCACCTTCATTTGCTCACAAACTGCTCTTATAGTTTTCTCTTCAGCTTCAGATAAAGAACTAGCGGTGGACAGCCTATCCTCAAAACTACAAGACTGAACTTGTTCCAACACTTAGTCACAATGTAGCACAGGAAAGATCTTATAGAATTCAAAGAAGAATTAACAGAGGCCTTGAGATCTCTTACCACTGATACATCGCAGTTATCCGATAAATCGAAGGGCGAAAGTTGACTGGATCGAGTCTGAAGGCCTTTCGATCGCTGCAAAGCATCTGAACTACTTCTAACTGAACCACCCTCTCTCCGACCACGAAGAACAGAATCTGGAGTCTTTCTACTATTGGATTTCGTACTGTAACAATTCTCTCTCTCAGCCTCACTCTTAATATCAGAAAAAGGATATGAGAATTAAGTTCTAGTTCAGCTAAAAGTGTCTAAACCAAGACGAACAGACAATGAAGCATGGAATAAATTTTATGTCTAACCTCAGAGTTCACAACGGACTGCGATGAAACGGTATATCGAGACACAGACGCCGAACGGTCCCGCCGCTCAGCACCTACCCTCGATAAGCTTCGACAACCGGTTTTCCTGTTTCCTGAACCTACACTTCCAGAATCAGAATTTCTCGACACAGATCGTCCCCTCGTACTCTCAACACCACCGCAACTCACACGTTTCGAACTTCCTGATCTGACTCTGGCGGAACTGTCATCTAATTCAAGGTTGACAGAACGAGCTTCCTCCATCGGGGGCGAACCGTTGCTCCAGAAGAGCGGATTATCTCTACTATTCGAAAAATCTGCGGAAACATCCACTGTACTAGATCTAGGAAAAGCACTAACGCTTCGTGATCTACGCATAGTAGCTTTCTTGAGAGAATTTTCATTCTGCTTACTATCCTTAACCGAAGTTGACACGCCGCTACTCGAAGAAGGTGTCGCCGAAGTCGAACTACCTCTTCTAGACGACGATTTGAAAGCAGCCATCGCCATTACTAATCGACAATCAAAATAACAATGGAACTAACACAATAATAGGAAATGGCGAGTCCAGATGACTTCAGAAAGCATCCAAAAAGGTACGCGGTAATAGTCAAAGCGATGATGTTTCGATGAAGCATTCATATGAGTAAAATATAGGTGTAGAAGGCGGAGATTACAGAGTATGATTGACTGAAAAAAACAGAAAGCAATGATTATACAGAAGGATGCCGAGAGGGAGGAGGCGACGGAGGCGACCGGAAACCGCTCAGCTTCCGCCAAGTTTTCTTGATGGCGCCGCCACACTGATCGGAAAATTCGAAATCGTGCCAAGTGTCACGGTCATGCTTGTCCAGGGCATGTTGCCCATGGCCGCATGGCCATGACAAGCCAAACCCTTGTCATGTCTTTTCATTCTAGTGTTTTTCCTAAAGCGTATGACACCTCAAAAATATCATGTCTACGCCTGCCAGAACTAAAATGGCCCAGAATGTACTATAGGGGGATATGACTAGTCGTCAACTTCTCCCTACCCAAGGTTATATATGCTAAGCCGTTGTTATCTTTCTCTTGCTTGCTTATATAACGTCTCTTTCTAAAAATCTCTCTTTCTCAAATCTCTCTCTCCTCGTTTTCTAAAACCTTCTTTTAAAACCGAGGCTAGAGGCTTGACCGTACGTCGCTTGGCCGTAGGCGACGCAAGAACAAATAGGCTCAACTCACTTGTTGCTGGAAAGTGAGTGCCGCACAATCGCTAGTCCGCTGCCTTCGAAAGCGCGATTGTGTCACCAAGCACAAACCACCGAGACGACACGTGCTTTATGCAAAATAAGCGTTTCTTTCGCATCATATAAAGTATGAACGCATTTCAGACGCGAATTTTGTCAAATTTCGGTAAATGGTTCCAAAATAATTGTTTGTGCTTTTAATTGACTTGAGTGTAAATTGA